CCTCTTCTTTGACAGGGTCTCATGTAGATCAGGCTGACCTTAAACTCACTATGTAGCCAAGGATGACCTTGCATTTTCAGTTGTGAGCCTAGCCTTTAACAGCTGAGCCATCTCTCCAGCCTGACCTTGAATTTTTGGTCTTCCTGCTTGCACCTTCCAAGTGCTGGGGTTACAGGCATTGTCATACCTGGTTTATGTGGTACTGCGGATCAAGCCACAGTGCATGCTACAACAGCACTCTACCAACTGAGCTACACCTCCTTCTGTCACTGGTACTTTTTTTTTGGTTTTGGTTTTTCGAGTCAGGGTTTCTCTGTGCAGCCTTGACTGTCCTGGAACTCTCTTTGTAGACCAGGATGGTCTCACACTCACAGAGACCCACCTGCCTCTGTCTCCTGAGTGCTGGGATTATGCACCACCATACCTGGCTTAACATTTTTAATTTCTAGAAGTTCTGTGTGACTTTTTACATTATTTATTGTGTGTATGTATGTGTGGGTCCTGGGGATGGAACTTGGGCTGTCACAGTTGTTAAAGGCAAGTGCCCTTATCGACTGAGCTATCTGACTGGCTCCCCATCTGATTTTTTATATCTTTTATTGATTCACTTGTTTTCCTTAAATACTTCATAGTTATCATAGTTGTGTTGGTATTTTTGTTCGATAAATGATTTCTGTCATTGCTGGGTCTGTTGTTACTGACTGATTTTTTCATCTTATTATTGATCACAGTTTCCTGATTCTTGGCAAGACTAGTAATTTTTGTTTGGATATAGAACATTGTGATTTTATGGTGTTCAGTATCTGGGTTTTGTTATCTTTTAAAGAATGTTCATCTTTATTCTGACAATCATTTGCAATTTGGTATGATATTTTGATATTTAGTTTTTGAAGTGGTGATGCTTTTGAGTATGTTTTGACTATTGTTAGGACTTCTCTAAGGATAGTTTAGAGTAACTAACCATTCCCTTTGGAGTCTCTACAAAATGCTTGGAGTAATCAATGAAGAGTCTTCAACTTAGTTGGTGGGATATAGAAGGATTTTTCAGTCTTCTGTGAAAGCTGGAAAGAATTCAGCTTATATCTTAGAGGGTTTATTCAGCTTATACTTCCATATCACTGTTCATCACCAAAGGAAGTCAGGGCAAGATCATGGAGGCAGGAGCTGATGCAGAGGCCATGGAGGGGAGCTGTTTACTGGCTTGCTCAGTTTGCTTTCTTATAGAACCCAGGACCACTGGCCTAGGGATGGCACCAACAAGAATGCCCTGGGGGCCCTCCCCTATCAGTCACCAATTAAAAAAATACCTTACAGGCCTGCCTACAACCAATCTTATGAAGACATCTTCTTAATTGAGGTTCCCTGCTCTCCGATGATGTTTGCTTGTGTCAAGTTGACATAAAACTATCCAGCACAGCTCACAATAGACTAATTTATTGTTCTATGGCATCCTGCCCTATGCATGCATGTCCTAACATCCAGCAAAGCTCAAGGGGACTGCTGCATACATTTTGGAAGCTCATTTTCTATGCAGCTCCTCCTTCTCACAGCTTTGCCCTGCTGTTTCCGTACCTTGCAGTTTCTCTAATGACTTATCTCTGGCTTGTTGAGAACATTGTGCTTTTGTCTGCTTGGTTTGTCTATTTCAATTATGAAACAAAATTTGCAGGTGGCCTTTTATTTCCCATGTCATTGGATGAATGGGTTTTATACAATTGCATTACTCTCATTATCCACATCTATAAATATTAAGATTACACTTCTCATTCTGTTTCATTTGCATTTAGCTGAGATATCTTGTCATTCTTTTGCTTTTGAATCACTTTGTATTTAGGTCTGCCTTTTTAAATATATATATTTACATATATATTTAAAATACTTATTTATATATGTTTAATTTACTTATTTCATCTGTGCGTGCATATGTGTGTGTGTGTGTGTGCGCGCGCGTGTGTGCTTATATTTGAACGTGTACATGTGAAGATTAGAAGTCAACCTTAGGTGTTGGCCATCTTTTTATTTTGAGACAGGGGCTCTCTACTGCCCTGTAGTTTGCTGATTGGGCTAGGCTGGCTGGCTAGAGAGCCACTAGGATCTGCCTCTATCTGCCTCCCCAGTGCTGGGATTACAAGTAGACACCACCATCCTGCTTTGTTATGTGGGTTCTGAGGATTGAACTCAGGTCCTTGTGGCTGCATGGCAATCGCTTTACTATTGTGAGTTATCTATCTATCTATCTATCTATCTATCTATCTATCTATCTATCTATCTATCTATCATCTATATCCTTTAAAAGTTTATGTGTCAGAAAAAAAGAACTAGAACCAATAAAGACAAGTAGCCCTAGTGATCCAGCTCTCAGAATGCCTCTGTTGAAGTTTCCTCAAAATTCTGTATCCAGAACAACTTCAAAGCTGCTGGCTGAGATGGTCTAGCCTCGTAGACTATCCAGTCAGAACTTCAGATAAGCCCATTACATCGAGACTGGACAAGCCAGCTTTCCCAGGACTTGACCATTATCCCAATTTTCTCAGGGTTCCCTAAAGATGCTGT